CCCCCCCCCCCCCCCCCCCCCTATCATGCTTCTCCTCAAGTGCAAATGTTGCAGCAGGCGTTTTTCCGTGGAATTCTTTTGGTCCGAAGGATACATCAATGATTGGAATGAAGGTCTTGGACGTGCCAGCTCAGTTTTGGAGAGTGGAGATTAGGCGTTGCAACGATCTTAGTCTCTCAAAATCCATTCTTGGAACTTTATTTTGCCTCTTTATTAATTTTTTTTTTTTTACTTTCCAATTCTAAGTGTGGCCCGCGAGTACTTCGCAACAGAAGACATGTATGTTGATCAGGATAAGCGTTATTTTATGGCGTGCGATTCCACCTGCATCTATCGTGGCTGAACGGCAGGTGGATTACAGGGTGGTAAGAGGTGAATTTGGAATCAGGCAGACGTCCCTGCAGGAGGTGATTTTCCACTTAGAATGACATCCACCTGGTACCAATTCCATCTAGGAGGCTTGCAGGTCGTACATGCCACAACGGTCTGGAACCCCGAGATCTCTGTACTGTTCATCCGTCAACCTGATCGAAGCCTTGTCCCCTTCATTTACACAATGAAAGAAACCCTTCATTTGCATGAGGGTGTGACCTGAAAGGTCATCCGGTCGACGGTGTCCAGAGCGTTGCCCTGAACACCGCCGACCGCTCTGCCGCCAACAGTGGATGTTGAAGACGGCCGCGAAAGACCGAAACGGCGAAGAAAGGCGCTGAAGAAGAGAACACGAGGATCCTAGAGGATTCCTTTCACCTATTCAAGTATAACGATGAAAGGCAAACAAAACGGGGAAAAAAAAAATTATCTGCACAGTTCGTTGCCGAGAACATTAATAAATCGAATTGAAACTCATGAAGGCTTCCCATCACTCCAAGTATGAAATTGATCTTATCCTGTAAATTCTCCCCTTTTCCTCCAAGAGATTGCATTCCATTCAACAGTCGGTTCTACTGAAATATTTAAAAAAGCGACCAGGATGTCAAAACTTTTACTGGATATCTTTCATTGCGGAAATTTTGCACTTGGGAGCCGATTTGAATTCATCGGGTGAGAGACACGGGGACATTTTTCATTGAACATGTCGGCTTTTAATACGGTCGGCGCTCGCTGTTACGAAATTCAAGGGAGGGTCGTTTTCTCATTCGTTGTAACGTATTTTCTTTATAACTTTATAACGGAATTTTACAATAAAATAATTAAATTTTCGCATCTGAAGCTGAAGTAGAATACCGCTATAATTAAAACCACGTTACATTATCGGCTTGTTATGTGACAGAATTAGCATAAAAACTTTACGATTTATTTCTAAAACTTGCTTTTGACTATTGGTACTAGAAAATTATTTCATTACCTGGTACCTTCTGTAATAAAGTAATTCGTTACAACGTTTTATAAATTGTACAGGGATATGCTGGGCCAACCAAATGCTAATTATTTTTTTCGTTAAAGCGTACTTCGTTTTAATGAGCGCCGACTGCATCTGATTCGAAGAGAAAGCAATAGGCATGGGAAAAAGCATATTTAAAACCATCAGCTCCACAAATCCCTCCCTCATAGCGTGTCAGAAGAAAATTCCAATGAAGGGATTAAACGTCTCGAGATCCAGGCATCCCGTCCGACGGCCTGACGTGCCCCATCGGATGGGACTCGACGCGTTCACGCTCGGAGTCGACACTTCCGAGACTCGTTCGGTAGAGATGAGGCTGGGGGTGACCGGGGGATGAGTTGGTGTATCGTCGCGAGTTTTCGCCCGTTGTGAAAGAATCGCGGCGTCCCGAGTCGCATCTGCGACAGACTTTCAGGAAGTTTCGGCGGTAGCGGTCGCTCAGGGCGCAGTAGAGAAGGAAATTTGTGGCGGCGTTAACCGCCATGAGGAAGTTGAAGACGTTCCCGCAGATCCTGAGGACGTAATCGCCGCGAGTCTCGGGAATGGGATGATGGAACGAGGAGTAGATGAGGACCAAGGCGGTCGGACTCTGGCAGAGGAGAAACAGGACGGACACGGCGATGAGCATGACGGTGACACGGTTCTCGCGGATCTCTTGACGGCTCCTGTGAGCCATGAGGAGCGCTCGCTGACGGGAGCTCCAATGAACGTGGTAGATGAGGAGGATGTTGAAGACAAGAAGAAGGGTCAGAGGGACCAAGATAAACACGGTCGCGGTGAACCAATAGAATCCCTTTCGGTATCTGCAATAGTGAACCAGAAGCCTTTCGATCAGCATAGAGCAAAAAAAAACAACAATTAAATTCATCAGAAATTCATATTCGGCCCAAAATCGTCCAATAGGAGAAATGTTCATCTTCTTCGACCCTTCCAAATTTTTTTGGTTATTAGTATGTGTTAAAAAATAGGTTTTTTAAAATATATTTAAACTATCTGATTCACGCAAGAATTTAAACTTATTTTTGGAGTCAGTCTTATTTAGTCAAAGGCCAAACGTCAAATTGCTTGAAAGACTCATTTGGAAACTCCATTGACCCTTTCCCAGAGCACACACTTGAAGACTTATTGCAAACATTTTTCTTTCCCTACCTTACCGATAGAGATCACTCAAAACCCCAACCATAGGTATTACCGAAAAGCCGCTCATCATGCCATATTTATAACTCATGACGCCCTCATGAGACTGGACCGTGAATTCCTATCACATGGTGCATGCGTTGGGAACCTGTGGATGTCCCGAGAGTGCAGGACACTAATAGAAGATGCCTTGTATTCTTTTCCGCCTGCACCAGCAGATCCTGGGGAAGTCATATGAACATTCATTGGGGTTAATGTACGTCCCTGAAAGAATTCGGCAAAAATGTGAGAGATACCAAGCGTAATTACATTAAACCCGAGGACGTGCCAGTGTCCTGTCATTGGCGACATTGGGATGATTCTCTTAGATGTCCCATGGGTATCTTATACTGAGAACCCAAGATGCTCCTTTAGATACCGTAACTAACACGACATGACGCTTAGATGGCTGCTGAGGCAAGTCTTCCCCACGATCCGACTGCAATGGAGCGTCTCCAATGTATTTCCCACGCGGCAGCGGTTTATTTTTTCCAGACAGCGGGACGGTGGCGGCACCCTGGCGCATCCACGAAGCTCCAATATAGACAAACTTATTAAATAAACAATATAAATGATATAAGTCTAACCTGGACCTCTGAAATCATTCATGACAGGTTTATTTCGATATGTCAATAAGCAAAATCAACGATGAAAAAAAAAAGGCTTCAAACATTTATTTTTACTCCTCCAACGCAATACCATCAATCTATTGTTCCCCTGAAAAACATGATGCGCTACAAATTCTTCACGTGGCCTCATGCATTTCACTTGAAACGCTTGGACGGTGCATGAACATCTAAATTCCAAAAATAAGGATCTATCTAGCAATAAGTATCTAGCAGCGAAAACGAAATGGCTTTTGTGTTGCAGCAACAATATTGATCTTGACATCCTTCTGCGATTGATATTCTTTTAATAAAAGTGCACACCAAGAGTTTGCAATATGAGTCAATCATGGACAAAATTGACTCATCATCTTGGTGTGCACTTTTATTAAAAGAACAACTTTCGAGCCAGGAGTGTCGCACCTTAGAAGCGTCTCTTCCTCTGAGGTTTCCTACCAGTTCCATATAGCGCTTCTCGAATGCCCCACACAAAATTTTTTTTTTCCCTTATTGTGAATTCCCAAAAGATGTGTAGAATTTCTGACATGTACGTTATGTGCCTAAAGGTCTCTGCGTGAACTGCAGTATTTCAGCATTGCTTCGCAGATCAGCCGACTCTCGTCAGCTCAGATAATAACCTGAGGTCAACTAGCGTTCCATTCGAAATTGATGATGAGCTGCTGCACGCAAATCTTTTGGTGTCGAAGTGACACATTTTGTACTCGTATGGTCATTTGGACACACTTTAGTTTCCATATTATGAGGGCGAAAATGTGTTTTGAAATATCAGATCAGGATCTGAACTGGACCCATTAAAAAAATAAAGATTCGAGGCGCAGCATTATTCCCCAATGCGTGAAGTCACTATAAATGCCACAGATCCAGTCGGAAATAGACAGCAGTGGAGGCCAAGAAGTCCTCCCCCTGCAAGGAGTGTATTTCTCCTTTTGAGGCGATGATCTATCATCTATCTCGAACGGAAGGTTGACCTCAAGGTAGAATTTCTTGGCCTGTAGCCCTTTGCGACGGATCTGAGCAGCAGGGAGATTCCTCGAAGGCTTTAGAAAAAGTATTGCTTCTCGACTGAATTTGTCAAGTGTGTTTAATGCCGAATGAATGCATTTCACACCTTTTGGCACATTCCAAATGTGTCGTAATAAGGACAACTTCGACACAGCATTTTCGTGCCAAAAAAGTTTATGAGCAGTTACATTGCAGACTTCCGTCCTCCTCGAACAACTTTGTTGACAGAACCAAAAGAAAATTCTCCCAATACCCACGGCACCTTTGCCAGCTTCTCGCGGCACCCATGGGTGCCACAGGGCACAGACTGAGAACCGCCGCCATACGGTATACATTATTACAGAGAACGTCGAGAAAGATATTGGAATCCCATGAGAAATTTGTCCGAAGAATTGGCTCGGTTCAGGAAGGCCCCATATAAATTTTGGAACAGGCTGGAGTGACGGAGTGAGATTGAAAGAAATTACCTTGGTGGGAGCTCCGCATCCTATCCGTATCACTTTTTAAACGACTTGAGCGATCTGTCACGCTGAGTCTCCAGGGACCTGCCCTGGCTCACTAGCTTCTATTCGGAAAACCCATTAAATTTTTATTAGAACTGATGCGGTCCGCCTCCCGAGGTGGACTTCATAAGCCCTCATGGGACTTCTGTCGGAAGGCTTTCCCGGATCTTTTCTGCATGGTATTCTAGGTCAAATCTGCCAGAAATTTTGAGAGCTACGTTCTAGAAGTTTGATTTAGCTGAGCATTTTTTCCGATTTCGATAATGGAACCTAAAATCGTGAAAAAATTTCCTCAGAAAACTACCTTTATTTACGAAAAAGAAAGTAAATCCTCGACAGGGTTTAGAAGAATCTGCTTCGGGCAAGAAAATGATTAATACCTAAAAAGCAATGATGCGAGAAGTGAAAACAGGCTCTCTAAGTATAGATATTTTCGATAGAGTTTTCTTTCCTGAAAAACTGCTTTGAGGAACCCCATCAATTCTCGTTCTTCTGATATAATGCTCCCAAATTTTCCATTGAAAGACACAATTTTGACATGCCTAAAAAAAAAATTAGACACACCTGAAGATTTATGCTGTGGAATATCATCATAGAACTGCTTCTATCACTCATTCCAAATGCTTCTATTTTCTTAAGAAAAATTTCAGGGATTCTTCTTTCGATATTCTCATGCATGGCGTTAATATGCGATTGGTTTATCCTTTGACCTCGAAGAAAATCGGCTTCTCATGTAAAAAATTACAGCGTGCACAGTTCGTGTCCTCCCGCTTGAATGCAGTAAATTTTCTAAGCTCGTCTGAAGTAGATAAAACGATAAAATAATATTTCTGGGCAACCATGAAGAAAAGATGATTCAACTAGGGACCTGATTTCGCGAAAGCAGGCCACTAATGACAGGTGAGAAATACGAATGTCTACCTCTGGTTTCAAAAGTTGTCTGGCTTCGTCGGAGCAGGCAAATCTGCATGTGTAAACAAATATGACAAATTCCATCTCACCTGACACACTTTGAGAGAACGGAAAATGACCATTCGTGATAGGAAAAATCAATTGGGTTTTATCCCATACAGGAATTGAAAGCTTCTAAATTGAAATAATGGAGGGACAGTTGTGCTCGCTGTACTTTCTGCCAGATTAAGGGACGCTAAGCTGGCAGAAAGCTGGGGAGTAGAACAGTAATGAGAAAATTAACACAACACTTTTTTCACAAGAAAACTCACTATCGAAAGTTGTCCTTATTATGACACACTTTCAATGCATCTAAACGTGTGACGAATCTGTACAAAACGCGTCAAAAGGTGTGCAGGTCGTTCAGTCCAGTGAGGTCACTGCCATCTTCCGAACCTGGGATGTAGCAGGCCTCCCCTCCCCTCGACTCCGGTGTTAGTCCCTTCATCCTTTCAAATCGACACACCGCCATAAATTCCCCAGAATTTCGACACGCTTCTGACCTGGAGGAGCCCATTGGCCTTCTTGAAGTTCTTCTAGGAGTCCGAAACGTGTCAATACAAATTTCGCCTCATAAAATAATAGCGAAGTGTGTCCAAATGACCATACTAGTACAAAATGTATCATTCGACACATCACAGTTTTGCGTGTAGGCGTTTATTCCCCTAACAGTGTCGACGGATGAGCTTAATAAGGCCCACCGCTCAGTCCTAATATTGGGGCACAGCGCACGCGTTCAGATGAAACATGGTCCCAATGTGGGTGTGCTGCCAGGGTGAATATCGTCTGACGACCTGAACTTTCCGTAGTCAAGGATAGCTAATTAAAGGCGAGTCCAAGTTTACCTGATGTATAGAAATAAATACAGGTACAATAAAGTAAATAATTAAAATGCATTTGTAAAAAACACAAGAATAGCGTTTCAAGGAATTTTATTCAATTGCTTCCTAATTGACGCCCGTGGAAATATATTAAGAGAGAGAGATTAAGAGAGAAATGGATAATGAATTACAAATTCACAGTAAAATACATGCTAGAAGAATACATACTAATACAAGGGTATAGATTTAGTATATATTAATAACTAATTCGTTTACATAGCGGAGGTACAGATATTATATCCACGAATTATATTCTTATGCTAAAATAACGGGGTTTCAAGGACGATACTAGCCCAAACCATAATTTTCATGCCAAGTTTCAACTGGAGAGATAAATTTTGGTGGACGGAATGAAAAAGCCTGAACGGCTTAATCCCTTAGGGATGAAGGGCTTAGTCCTATAGGATTAAGAAGTACTGAAAATATTAACAAAATGATGAATCGTACCCAGGATTGGCGCCGAGGTTGCTGAGAACGAGAGATATCTGAGACTCTCTGTGATCGCCTTGGACCAGTTGGGATTCCTGCACCCTCCACTCGAAGGGAGTCGAGAGGATGCTGAGGAAGCAGAGGATGTAGACGAGGGCGATGACCCGCTTCGCCCGGGACTCGGTGAACCACACCTTGCCCTTCAGCGGGTTTTTTAGAGCGAGGTATCGCTCCACCGTGAAGGACACCGTCAGCCACACGGATGTGTTGCCTCGAATCAGAAGAGAATAATACATGACATCTTGTCCGATAGCTGTACTTCCCGTTTTCAAGTAATTGCACAGGATTGTCTTAAAGGAAGAGAAGATTTTTGAACAGCAGCTGCCGAGAAATGACCTGGGCGGAATGGCCCTATCTTTTGCATTTTAGTGCGTGGCACTAGTAGGCTTTATTTGAAGGTGGCGCATCGCCCTCGTCTATAGTTGTAGCTCCAGGTCACCGAAGATCCTAACCGATCGAAGCAACGAAATCTTTTATTTTAATAATTGTTTAATGCTGAGAATAATGAAGAGTTTTCTTCTATCTGGGTGATGAGGTACAGTAAGTTGAAGGCGTCCCTATTCAACATATAGCGTATGCAAAAGAAGCATCGTGCTAAATATTGAGTGGTGATATTTTACACACTCGTTCTTCAGCATCCGGGATTTATCTTCCTCAGATGAATTATTCTTTTTTTGACGCACAGATGATTTCTTTTCCCCACAATATTTGGGAAAATCTTAAGGTTGCAATGGGAAATAAAAGTTGCCTGTCACGTCCACTGACTTCATGTGTACCACTAGATAGGCATCGGCTAGTTGAATTTTTAAAAAATATCCAGCGGTCCTACATCTGGCATAACAACGTCAAAAAAGGATTTCAAAATATTAATAGAAGACAAGTGACAAATAAGTTGACTCTTTGCACATATCCCCAGTGAATGCTTAGACTTAAAAAAGACAATAAGTCAGATTAAGGAGGGAACCCAGTCACACAACAGCAGGATCATTGCCCCAGAGAGAGCAGGATTAATATTTGTAGGTTTAGCAGAGGAATATTATGTTTCTGGAGACTGACAAAATTAGGGAAGAAATGGCAGCCGATTCTCAGGATGCCGTTATAAGTGAATGAGAATCGACCATTGCGTGGAGAACAGGAGATGAAGCGAGCACGGCCAGGTGGGGTCATTCTTCGCCCCTTCCATACGCAGGTGTCTCCCCTGGTGCAATCCTCCTCGCGTTTTTCGACCATCCAGATTCTCGCAGAACCAACAGCCAAGTATGCAAAAGCATGTCATGTCAGTCATACTCAATCGCATTAAACTGCACCGTGGTGTTAGCCTATAGGACTGTCTCTCAGAATGCATCCAAATGACTAGAATCCAAGAAAATCTCATTCAGTCGGAACCACTAGATTCCCTACCTCAGCTAACCACAAATCCTCGAGTTTACAGGTATGCCAGTTGAACCAAGCTCTCCTGGGAAGCATGACATCTCGAATCCCGGATCCAGCGAGGTCGTAAAAAACCCAGACAAGGGGACAGGTTGGACCAGCGGCAAGCGAGATGCCTCTCGCCAAGCCATTATGGACCGACCGAGAAGCTGACTCGGAGAGAGGCTAAGTCCACGTTAACGCTCTCCACCCCAAAAGCATTAACTTCGACCTTCCTTCCAACGAAAACGGAGTTTTAAAAGGACCACTAGCTTAATCCCTTAATCTCCCTTAATCTAAATACACACGTCTCCATGACCCCGCATGAGGGAAACAAAAAGGGTTTTCCTCTTGGTGGTAATTTTCCGTAGACGAGAGAGGATTTTTTTTTTCCCATAGAAAAATGTGGTAATCCATCTGCGTCAGTCTTTAAAGACTCATGGAAGTCGATGGAAGGGACGTGATCGTAGAGACCCTGATTAAATACCCGAGTTCAATAATGAAACCCCTGAGAGAAAGGAATCTTTATTCCGATCCGAATGCTCCGAGCATTTTTAACTCCATATCTCTGGCGATCATTTCGTCTAAACTGTCCCCACGGCGGTCGATTCGACGAAGGACTCGAGAATCTCAACTTCGGATCAGGCATCCTGCCGAAATCGACAAAAACCTTCTTGAAGAATCACGTCGGAAGTTAAATGTAAATTTCGTGAAACAGAAGAAACTAAAAGAGATTCTTCAGAACGACGCGAGATATCTGTAATGTATATATTAATTCATTTCAGGACAAAACCTCTCTATTTTGTAATGATTCTGACATGATCTCGAAAGCATTAAATCATTATTGAGAGAACATATCGACGATCTCTGTCGCAAAACATGCACGACGTGCGTTTTGCGAAAAATCCTTATCGGACGAAAGTTCCGCGAATTCGCAGGTTATTTTTGGGGACGGGTACGGGTGTCTCCTTCCGTTATGATTTTGGCGTATCGGTGGGTGATCGATCTCCATTTCGCCGCTTTATTGATGTAAGATCGAACGAAATTAGTGGCATTGATTCCGTCCGGCTCGTAGCTGTCCATTATTTCATTAGGAAAGTGGTCATTAGGAAAGGGTCATTAGGAAAGTGACCATTGTCTCGTGTGACTTCTTGTTGGAGACCGTGATGGACTCCATGGTGAATTTTCAGATTCGAAATGCAACCGTGAAAGATTCATGAGTGGTGAGTGGTTTTCAAGGTCTTCCGGTTTTCTTTAAAGGAGAGGTACAAGGAAAGGAAAGGTCAAGCGTTTAAAAGCCTGGCGTGACGGGAACCGATTTTCCTCGGAGAATTCGCAAAGAATGATCCTTTTAGGCTCGATTATCGCCACGATCAAATTGAGGTCGCAAGATGCGAGAGAGATTGGTCGTACTCCCAGAAATTGGAATTTTTCTTCCTTTCAGGGCAGTTACTTTTGCATATTCCGGATGGGTATTGCATTCGTTGCGAGGTTAAATTCAGACTTTCCATGAGAGTGAGATATGACTTTTCAGTTCTTTTTCCATCCGCAAAAATTGGCTGTGGTTTCATCATACTCGGGGGCTGATTTTCCGAGTGTTGATTTCCACCATTTCGCCTCAAGGAAATTTTCCATGCCGTTATGCTGATGGTGCGGTTCGTGTGCTCTGCTTCCCCTCTCCTGCGACAATAGAGGAGTAAAAAAAATGTTTTTCCAAAGTTTAAATATCGAGATATGCAAACATATCTCGATAAGACACACATCGAACGATATCGCGATATGGCGATAATCGGCACAGCCCTACTTAAAATATATCGGTATAATAACCAAAACACGCTCGCGCCGCTCACTACTCACTTCCTCTCCGATCCCTCCGACCTCCCTCCGATCCCTCCGACCTCCCTCCGATCCCTCCGACCTCCCTCCGATCCCTCCGACCTCCCTCCGATCCCTCCGACCTCCCTCCGATCCCTCCGACCTCCCTCCGATCCCTCCGACCTCCCTCCGACCTCCCTCCGACCTCCCTCCAAAGAGAGCACATCGATTAATTCCAGGCAATGTCCCGCTGTATTTGCTAGCCACTCAAGTTTCTCTTATTTGTCGTTGCTCTCCAGCATCCCCACATCCGGGTTCCACTTTTTCGATCGAGTCCTTACCGTGATTTTTTCTCCATCGTTGATGCCTTTTCTGCCGCGGATTTGAACGTCTCCAGGACTGGATTGCCTCGCGTTTCGACAGATAGAAACCACCGCAATGCATTTCAAGCTGCGAAATAAGAACTGGACCGCGTTCACGCCTCGAAATGCCACTCCATGTCCTCTCCAGCGAAAAACTGAAAATCTCTCATCCCGTCTCACCAGCTCCAGCTGAATCAAATCGTGCTTTCCATGTTTTGCTTCGGATAGTTGTCATGACAATAGTTGCCATGACATGCATCCTTCATGCATGCTCATCCATCTGATTACTCGTCTCTCGACAAAATACAACAATTACAATTACAAGATCAATCGAAGGGACCGCTGAGCTGTCGAATCAGTTGTTTTATCTCTTCTTTAAAAATTTCAAAATCAGATTAACAGTAAGCCTGTTGAAGGTATTAACCAAAAAAGCACGATAAAAAGATTGGCGACTCATAGCAGACTCCAAGGAGTACATGGCAGCTGACTAGTATGGTTTAAGCATGAGAGTTTAAGGCGAGATCAAATATTTTTTTAGCCAGGTAATAATTTTTTTAATTACTGCATTAACATGAGGTCATGAAGTAATTACTAATTAATAACAAATCCACCGTTTAAATATAATTTATTACCACTTCAACAAGCTAAACTTATTATTTGCTATTAATGACTCCATCCTCCCAAAATTCATGGCAGACTAAAATCACCTCATGGACGTTTCAATGGCAGTCCTTTTTTTATGCGCATTGCAAAAATCGGGAAAATTAGCAGATGAAAGATGTGCCTGTCAATTGCGTCGTATTAGGACGTCCCATGCGGAAGAAAAATGACTCACCTTTGGGCTTATCTCATATCTGCAAGATTATTCGTTCAAAGAGAGCGAAGCCAAGCGTCTGGCTTCCGTTAAGATTCCGGTCGGCTGCATCTTTTACCGAAATTTAATTGCAATTTCGGCACGTCCCACTGCCTTTGCAAAGGAGCAAGCGACCAGGGTTTTCAGTGTGGATCATGACTCGTGAAATGTGTTATGATCAATTTAGTCATGAATGGCACTTGGAAAATTTTCGTTGAATACGATATTAATTCATGCGGTTGCATCTCTGTTTCGTGCGTCTGAGGAACATGGGAATCTGCAACACATTGCCATTCCAAGGCAGCACTGCGAGTGGCTTAACGGTCGCTTAATGCGGTAAGTGTTCGCATCTCTTGGGGATCGATCTCGCTACTTTCCGGAAATTATGAAACGATACGGGGAAACCAATCCACTTTGCGTCTACAGAGGGGTTTCAGTGGGTGGTATGATGTTGCAGGAGATGCATCAGGTTTTTTATTAAGCCTGAGAATACTAGCCAATATCCCAAAATGATAAATATGCTGCCTTGATCACGAGCAAACATAAGGCTGCGATTCTCCAAAGCAGTGCGTTCACTAGAAAGTATTATCCCGTGGGACACCTAAATCCATGGAAAGGACTTTGCATCTTGCACGGGCGTGATGAAACCGTGTTCATTCCCTCCTTTCTCCCAATCGTTGCTCTCGGATTGTCACAGACGACAGATATCTATATTTCAGCCACCCCAATTTTACTCAAGTAATAGCATGGAATACCTAATACAATTGAGGAAATGAGGAACTTGAATATCTAGAGCATCTGAATGCCTCACTGGCGTCAATTGATGCATAAGGCTAATTCCACTCAACGTCTGGTTCTAGGAATTCGAAGAATCCATAATCTCATATAATAAATTCGACAGCATATACGATCAAATTCAATGCCTCCGCACATCCATCATATTCCAGCCACTGACAGTAACTGGCCTTGACGTCCCTTCATCCATATGCAAGCTTTTTCCGAAGGAGAAATTTATAAGCATTCGGCAACCCTGTCTCTAATATGCACTACACGTGGAAAGCAGAGAGCTGCAAATGGTATAGTCACTTTTTTGTGTAGAATTAATCGCAAAAGTAAGTTCTAATATAGAACTTCTTCATATCGATAATAGAACGTATAGTTAGCGCATGGGATGTTTCAGTTTCGAGAAATTCGATTGGGGCTGCCCAAGAAACTTCGTACTCCTGTGGGCACATCGATGACCTGTCGAAGTACTCGAGTTTATACGATATCTCCCTCCCTAAAGAATCACTATACCCCGACTCACTGGAAGAATCGGAAAGCCAGAGTCCCACAGGATAATAATGCCAGTAGGAGAGAGGCATATTCCAGGGATAATGCCGAAACGACAGGGAGAAGACGAAGACCAGGTAGAGGAGGTCCGCTGCTGCCAACCCGGTGAGGTACCAATTGATAGAACTTCGCATCTCCTTCCTCGTCAGGATGAGCATGGTGATGCTATTGCCGGCTATCCCCACCGCCGCTACTATCGGCACCAGCACCCGTTGAATCCAGAATCGCGTCGCTTCCATGCCCGCAAGGTAATACTCCACGTCTCCCTGCAAGTCCGCGTTCTCGCTCTGGTTCCATCCAGAGACCTCCATCTTCGAAGAGACGGATTAAGCGATCATTATAATGTAATATTCATAAAATACGTCACATCAAATTTACACGTATGTACTATTAAAGCATGTAATTACTTGCTTTCATTGTGACTCCCTTCTAAATCCTTCTTGTTCACAATCTGCATAGCGTGAGCTGCAATTTCTTCTATTGTGAATTTCATGCAATTATACATGCATCGGCTTGGGACGTCATGTGATCCCTCACTCCTTAATATCGAGCGTTTAGATAAGCTGAAGGCTTATCCCTTTGAGTCAAAGCCGCAGACTTAAGAAGATGAAAATTTTTTAGATTGATTTTCTATACTACACCCTACTCCCTACTTGGAAGATTGTATGCTCAATCATTGAGCACTATCTCTCTATTCTATTCCAAGCATGAAACCTCGGCGATGATGCGATATCCCTCATAACCGTGAGCTCTTCTCTTTTCCTACTTTCTGCGTCCCAAATCATCTAATTTTTTTTAAGGGTTGCCTTTAGTACCCCAACATTTTCCTTTCCATAAAATCATATTGCATTTGTGAGACGGAGAGAGGGAAAGAGAGAGAGAAATTCATGATTCAATTGCCTTTGTAGGAAATCTCTTCCGCATGGAAATGGAATGATACCTCATTCATTACATTATGGTATCCTATAACTTCCCATTTAGGGGGAGGCATCAGAATTCCTGAATACGTTAGTAAGCGACAGGTGGCTTAAATCGGTGACGCTGCTCAGAAGACTCCTGGAAATTCTGACTCTGGAAGTTATGGAGAAAAATTATTTAACCATGGGGTGAGAATCTCAACGGTTTTCAATCTCATGAGTCAGAGACAAATGATGAATACATTTATGGAGGCTGTCTCACTTCTCGAGGAAACTCGGATGTCACAAGAGAGGCAAGATGATGGAACTCACCTCAAACACCACCCCAGAGCGGAAGAAAAAGATTCATGAGAGAATAAGTTAGAAACTTTTCCGAAGGAAAAATCGAAGATCACAGGAGGAACGAAAGGAAGGAAAGAGAAACTCGCTAGAGAACTTTCAACAGGATGTAAAGGTCTGCAGCAAGGGATCCGAGCATGTCAGTCAATATATGCACGCTCAATTAGATGTTGTAAATGAGATTGCAATTTCATTTCCGACTCACTGCGCTACAGGGGTAGATCCTTTTTGGCGGAGATCCACGAAGCCACCTCTTTTTTAAATCGGTCACGAAAAGGGCAGTCCTTCGAGATGGAAAAGCTTGCACCCTCCGCACTATCGATTCCTTTGATATTCCAATATTCCTGAACGCTGTCCCTCCCCGTTCCTTTGATTTCGAGGGAATAAAGGCCGGACGAGTGAAGAAAAAATCCTGATTCGTTTTTGGAGCACGGCTTTTCTCCAGATCCGTTGAATCTCGTTGCTCTGCAGGCCTCCCAAGAAGGGAATAAAATACAATTTAAAAAAAGGTTTCTCGTTGCTCGTCGCTGCCTTAAATGAAGTTCAAAACGTCGAAAATAATTTCTTGCGTGAATACGTCTTAATTCGAAAACTTCCAACATTTCAGAAAACAACGAATTTTCTCTCCGTTCGAAAATTTGTTCGCACCCCTCCATTCACCATCCAAAAAAAGTCTCTTTCGAAACCACTTTACAACAGAAGAATGATGCATTAGTTCTAATTGGGAATGTGCGTTGGTCATTCGAAAAGCCTAAAGTAGTGGCTCATTGGTCTTTTATTATCTATAGCAACATAATCTCGTGAAATTTTAAGGAAAATGTTTTTAAGAATACCTGCTCAACAGTCACCAATGATCTGGATGCATTTCTCACACCGTTACACCATACCATGGATGCGAGGACGTTGTCCTCCTCGACCAGGTTCAGAAGCGATGCGTTGTAGGCATTCTTGATGGCGTCAGCGTCCTCAAAACATTGTCCTCGCAGGCTTTCATTCACCTTGTAGTAGAGAAAGAAGCTGTATCCGGCCAACCATCCGCAATAAATGCCCCTACCTGTTGTGTACGCGGCTTCTAATTGGAAGTGGAAATCCGGAAGTGTACCTATACCAAAAAATTATATTGGATTCTATACGATTTTTGAAACATTAAGATCTCATAGGATTCTCATTGGAATCCTATAGGGTTCCTATTGGATCCCATTGGATTATTATGGCACCCTTTGAGATTCCTATATTAGTCTTACAATAATATTATAAGATTTTTATGTTTCACAATCTGATAGGATCCAACAAAATTTTTTCATGAGGACATGGCAGACTAAGAGAGGTAGGTGCTCGCCCACTCAAGTTACTCCCCGGAAGTTTTACCCTCCAACTTCTTCCTCTTCCCCAAGGTTAGGGAGAGCCCGGGTCGACATTGCTTTTAGGACGCCGAGGACATTAACAATGCCTGCAAAGCTTTGCTCTTGGACCTGAGGAAAGGACAACATCTTGGCTTCCACGGTCTGGAGCCACGGTGCAACAAATTCATTGGGCTCAATGACTCCTTTGAGCAGGTATCGTTCTTGAAAATATTTCCTGATAATTCATTGAGATATTGTTGAAAAAAAAGGTTTGAATCTTAGACTTTTCTGACGACCCACGTAATTCCATTCTATTTTTCAATTTAATTCCTCATATCTTCTTCTCAGATATACTGAGGAGTGTTCATCGTTCGCATCAGCCACGGTACTATTGTCATATCTGCTTTCGACCTTAGCACACATTTTGCATTTGGTTTTTGCGTTTTTATAGGGAACAGATAGGAGAATATGAAAGTGAATATCTCATGAGAACATCTGAGACCAGGTCAGACTGAATGCGACTGATTTTAAAGGATCCATTGTGGGCAAGGTTGCCATGGATACTCCGCTGATTCTGCAGAACAACCGACTTTGACGAATAGTAGACAAGTTTAGACATGGCTGAAATAATGAGTTTTGTCATTCAAGTACTGAACTCCAGTTCTGATCCAGTAATGGAAGTTACTGGGATGAACCATTATAATTGCACTCATTAGAGTACTCTCAAGCTCCAATCAACATGAGAGCGCGTTCGGGCTCAGCAAAAGGAGGCAGTAACGCCGAAACGTTGACAATTCAACGCTGGCACGATGAGATGCATGAACGTTGAATTGTGTTTCATTTCAACATTGAGGCAACGTAGAATCCCGCTTTTACACATCGTTGTGGCAACATTGCTACGTTGAAAAGTCAGTCCTCGCTCAACGTTGGCCCGGGTTTGTTGAGTCGAATGGGTACGCTTTCCAATGATAGAATATTGGCACAATATATCACTGCGACTGAAATTGCTTGTGTGCCGTGTATGCTCATGTCTGCCTAAGTGCGCTTTAATTGTGTCCCTCTGGGCCCTCACGGGTATATAACAACTTTTTTTCTCATCTGCATTTTAATGGGTTTTTTTTTTTCCTGAGAAAATTCATTACATTATCGAGGCACGAAATTATCGACGGAGAAACAGCTGAATAACGCCTTCGTGCCGATGATCGCAGGAGAAACCGAATCGCACGTGAGAGTCATACTTATGTCGATTCCTCTTACCTTCCTCTTACCGAGGCAAAACGTGAGCAAATGAGACAGATTCCGAATGCGATCTTTGGTAAAGAAGACATTGGGCCTGGGGCAGTTACCAAGTGCGTTCAACTGCCGTTACTTTCCGCCAGGGAATATTTTCTCCAGCAATCGTTATCCAGTGAAGTAAATCGAAATTCACAGTCTAATCACCCCTTGTGTACACGGGCTTTAAAATAAAATAATAAAATAACCATCGTCGTTATGGTTGAGGTCAGGAATATTGAATTCACCATTATCGAGCTTGAAAGATTATTTTTGCAGTAAATTTACCGAAGATTGCGTTGCGCACGCTATCGACAAATGCGTTTCTTGGAGCTCTTGGGGACTTCGATTCCCGTGGTCCTTAATTCAGCCTGGAATCATGAGGGGAATCGAGAGCATTTGCGATGATGAACAGCATCGACGTGGTTCCCGTGACCCTTTTCATCACCCGCCACCCAATCACAAGTTCCATGCCTTCTGTGGTACTTACCTTGTGACTTCTCTAATCCTTCCAAGAAATCTCATTTGGCTCATATTGATACTGTCACCCCTTGGAATGCTCTCATCCCCTTTCCTGGAATTCCTAAGTCCTCTCATCCCCACCCACGCGAAGTATCTTCCTCGATTTTGAGCGGTGAGCGATGGAGGCAAGGAAAGGATTTGACTTTGCTTAGGTCTGTCTCTTTTTTTCATTCTGTCTGTCCGCAGTAACCAGAGAAAAAGGACAACACGACCCGATGCGCACGTGCAGCTTTCCTCCTGGGTCGGGGAGCCCGTATTCCACGAAAACATCCACTTCCCTTCCAGCCCTAGCGGTTGACGGATCCATAGCAGACAATGGAGAGCGGCTGCACCTTCCGGCCGCGTTGACAGGGTTGCAAGGCGTACGCGTGAAATGCCATATCTGGCATCCTACACTTCATTATGAAGGGTAGGATGCCAGATACGGATGCCAGATGCCCTTCCGCCTCCACGCGACGCGGATGCGTCCATCGAGAACATATCTTTTCTCTAGGCCGTTTCATACAGGCCTAAGCCGAACAATTAACAGCTATTATTTATTTCAAGGTTGGAAGGTTAGGATGCGGTGAATATATATAATAATTCCCGTGAATAGGGGCCAGTAGAATGGCTGATCTGTACCCAGACTGGAACTCTAGAATTAATTTGTCGATTACATGAAGGACTCCATAATGCATGCAAATATGGTAAATTTGCGTAAAAACTGGTTTCTCCATCGTGATGAAGAAAGGGCGAGAGACAATAAATATTTGGGGCTTTCGAACCACTGGAATAAAATTGGCCCATTAAGCTCGATAATCGTAAATGAAAATTGCCTGACCTCGACGATAACGACGATGGTTCTTTGAATATGTTTGCCGAGGATCGGCGGGGGGAGACGAATGGAAAGAGAGATGCCTGCGACAGTAACAGGATTTCTTACACCATGGCAAAAGACCGTGGAAGGAAGAATGTTGTCCTTAGGTAAGGTCCAAGAGCAAAGCATTGCAGGCATTATCGATGTCCTCGGCGTCCTAAAAGCAATGTCGGTCCAATCTCTCCCTAACCTTGGGGAAGAAGTCGAAGAGTGACATTTCCGGGGAATAGGCTGAGTGGGCGAGCACCTCCCACTCTCAGTCTGCCATGCCCTTGCAAAAAATCCTCTGACATCCTATCAGATTGTGAAACATAAAAATTTATTACTTCATTGTAAGACTGCTATATGAATCTCAAAGGGTGTCATAATAATCCTATGGGATCCAATAGGAACCCTATAGGATTCCAATGAGAATCCTATGATATCTTAATGTTTCAAAAATCGTATAGAATCAAATAGAATTTTTTTTGTATAGGTAGCCTCCCGGATTTCCACTTCCAATTAGAAGCCGCGTTGTCTAGCATCAGAATAGCGCCTGTTAGCAACAGGTAGGGGCTTTTATTGCGGATGGTTGGCCGGATACAGCTTCTTTCTCTACTACAAGGTGAATGAAAGCCTGCGAGGACAAAGTTTTGAGGACGCTGACGCCATCAAGAATGTCTACAACGCATCGCTCCTGAACCTGGTCGAGGAGGACAACGTCCTCGCATCCATGGTATGGTGTAACGGTGTGAGAAATGCATCCAGCTCATTGGTGACTGTTGAGCAGGTATCTTTCTTAAAAACATTTTCCTTAAAATTTCGTGAGATTATGTTGCTAAAAAGTTACTAATGAGCCAATACTTTAGGTTTTTCGAATGACCAACGTACATTCCCAATTAGAGCTCATGTTGTTGTAAAATGGTTTCGAAATAGACTTTTTTGGATGATGAAAGGGGGATGCGAGCAGGTTTTCGCACGGAGAAAAAATTCGTTGTTTTCTGTTTTCCTTTCCTGGCATTTTATTCTCTTCTTGGGAGGCCTGTAGAGCAACAAGATTCAATGGCTCCAGAGAAAAGCCGCGCTGGAAAAACGATTCGGAAAATTTCCTTCCCTCGTCCGGACTTTGTTCCCGGGAAATTTGGTGAATACCAAGGGAATTTCGGACCCATTCGACGTAACAACGTTGTGTCAACGTTGAGAAAATGTCGATTTTTCAACGCAACACGTTCAACAATCTTGTAAAAAGGTTGAAATTAAACACAATGCAACGTCGGATATTTGCTCCAGTACTCCAGTACTATAGTACTAATCATGAAAGGACCCTTAAATTTTTTTAATTTACTGGATCAGAGTTCGAATTGAATTTGTGCCGAACGGGGAGGCATTTTCCATCTCGATGGACTTCCCCTTTTCGTGACCGATTAGAGTAAGAGTTGGCTTCCGCCAAAAAGGGGGGAGGAACCCCTGTAACGCAATGAGGGAAAATGACAATTGCGATGTGTACTTACAACATCGAATTAAGCGTGCAAATATTGGTGATAATAATAAATATCCCCTGCTGCAGACCTTCACATCCCGTTGAAAATTCTCCAGCGAGTTTCCCCTTCCCTCGACTCATTCCTTCTGTGACCTTCGGCTTTTCCTTAGGAAAATGTTTCTAACCTATTCCCAGTCAGCAATTTATCCCCGGGCCAAGTTTGTTCATCTCCGCACAGTCACATGTGCCAAGCTTGGCCCACGTTCACGAGCCACACATGTACACGTGCACCGCGGGTGAAAAATGCATAGGGCGTAACGTAAACGTCCGCGTTTTCTGTGGGACCCAGTCTAATACATTTGTGGGCCAAGTGTGGCTTATGTGTGCAGTAAGTCCGCGACAAGCAGTGCCACGATTGCGTATCTATTTATATACTTACGTACGAACGAGGTGTATGTATGTGCCACTCCACAAGCGTCCGCCTTTTCTACGGAAACCTATTCATAATACGATTCCAGGAAAGGTCCTTCCCTTCATGTTCCCTGGAGTACACACGAATTCAATTCCAAGTTTCCTCATTCCGAACTCAAGACGAAGAACCGGGGAATCGAATCCGCGAACTCCGCTGCTGTTCCAGAACGCCTCTTGGATGACCTTGGATGACCTTGGATGACCTTGGATGACCTTGGATGACCTTACTAAAGTAAAGGATTCTCATACGGCAGTGGTTCTCAACCGGTTGGCCGTGTCAAGTACCCGCAAATCTAAGAATAGGAATCAACACTTAGACGAACAGTAATTAAATTGCTTTTTAATTGTCTGCGAATCACTTTGTAGTTATTAAGGTGGAATGGAAAGGCTGAGAACCTCTGTCATAGGGAATGGCTTGTTTACAGGGTGGTCCAAAAAAAACGCTAATTATAGAAAATGGAAGAGGAAGTCAGAAGAAGTGGTTTTTGATTCATAAAAACCTAACAATATCGAGGACATGACTGGACAATTGAAGACAATTATGAAAACAATTCACCGAATGGAAAGATGCCTGTAATTAACCGTTGCTTAACAGTGAATGATATATTCAATTCAGCGTCCTTCTTGTTCGATGACATCACGGGACGTCTCGGGTTCGGTCCCGTTACTCATTCCCCCTCCATAACTTTATTTTTGCTCGAGTAAAACGAAGAGACATGGAAAGCTGAAACCTGGCCTGGACGTGCCTACCGAGACGATGAGTTCAGGAAAATGGCAAAATTTTAGATCCATGCCCTGCGGGGATATTTTTGGGGGCCGACGTCTTCAAGGATTTTTTTTTTGTCCTGGCGTATTGAGTTAGTGCGGAAAGATGAAACTTGGTACATTTGTACCCTTGGTACCCATTGGGATGCTGCATAAAAATTCACACCTTGGAAGTAAATGCCCTGGGGCCACAAATTTCAAAGGGAGATGTTTCCAAATATATTTTTTGCACTGATGAACATGGAAAGCTGAAACTTTGCATGAACGTGACCACTGAGACAAGGAGTTAAAATAAAAATGCTCAGTCTCGATACATCCCCCGGGGGAATTTTTTTTCTAGGGGCGATGTTTTGAAAAAAAAAGTTGTGGCCAATTGGACAGAGAGGGCGCCAGAAAGTTTAAACTTGGCAAAAAGGTACCTAATGGATAGCTGAGTAAATAAAAAATTATACTTTTATTATTATGTATAGACGATCGTGAGTAGTCGACTGACTGACATTTTAGTCATTTTAGTCAAGCATTTTACAGCAGTTTCAAGGTCATTTCAAAATGCCGGCGCTCGGAGGCCTTGAACTCCCGTTCCCGCAGGGTTTCCCCTTCGTCCCATTTTTAAAAGCGCGACCGTTTTTAACAGTTGCCTTGCGTCGTACCATTTAGCCATTCCATTTATTAATATTATTTCCCATTATTTTTTTTTATCGATACACCACTCCAAGAATAAACCGTTCTCCCCTCACTCGAGTGGATGCAGCCTAAACGCGACGAATCTGTCGCAGACGATTCGCGGTCGCGACGAATCCCCCAGGGCCGGAAAGTCTCTCGGCTGACCTTCTCTTTCGATGCGACACTCGACGTGTTGGAGTTTGCAGGGCGATCGAGGAAAGACGGAAGAGATCTTGGCGTTCGCTCTTATTTTATCATTATTATTTATTTATTTACATATTTTTGGAATGGTGTACAGATCAGAACATGATTTTTCATTTAATTTCTCGGATCAATCTCTTTTAAAATGTTATATTAATTTAATTAATTTTAAAAAAAATTATAAACAATTTTATTATTTATTTTCCGACTTTCTTCTCTCTTCTTGGAAACTGAGACCAGCCAACTTATTTTCTCGGATTTCCGGGGAAGCCGAAACACGGCACGCGTTCGCCAGATGGTGACGACACATTATTCTCGACGGGAGAGCGAGAGGATCGCAGATCCTGCCGGATGGCTCGATCCGGCAAAACCCGATTTCCGGCTGTGAATTTCTTTATTTTTATCATTAACTTCCGTCGCGATTAAAGAGGTCCGATCGATTTAATCCATTTGAATTTGCGGCCATTTAATTTAATTTGATTGATGGAACAGAGAATAACTTCGTTACAGCTGTCCGCGTGCGAAAGGACTTCATACATTCTGGAAGGAAAAGTAGGAACATAACAGGACAGCGAAGTTACGCTCTTTAAAAAATAATAATAATAACTTTAAAGATAATAAAGATAATAGCTTTAAAGAACCCATTAATGTATAAATATAATGTAAAAAGTAACAATATAGTATTCAACAAATAAATAATATAATAATAAATAATGTAATGATAAATAGTATAATAATTAGGGCTGTACCGATGTATCGGCTAACACCGGTATCGGCCGCCGGCGTTGGACTTTCTGCCACATCGGCCATCGGCAGGTTTGGAACCAGCCGGTGCCGATATTCAAAGAAGAACGTGCTGAACGAGGAAAAATAAAAAAAATACCATGTGAAC